TCTCTCTCTCTCTCTCTCTCTCTCTCTCTCCCTCTCCCCGGCCGCCTTTTTCTCCCGGGGGATCTCGGGGCCCGACGGGCCCCGTTGTGCGTTCGCCGTACGTGAGACAATGTCGTGGGACAGCCGCCGAGTGCGGGAGAACGCCGCGAAATGATTTACGCCTCGGCCGCGGCCGATTCGGCCCGCCGGCTCGCCTGTCGATGAGTTTCGCGTGACGCGTCATCGTCATCACCGTCGACGTTATTGTTGCCATCACGAGGGTCCTGGTGCGCATACCTGCGGGTCCAGGAGTGAGGATCCGTAAGCCGCGTCAAGTGTCAATCTCGACAAGCTGCCTTCGCGAAAGGGTTCTATGATTTTTCGCCGGCAAACGTTCTATAATTGTGTTGAAAATGTTCCTGTCGTCGAAAAGGATTAACTCTTAGGAGCAGAACTAGGAGAGAACACCGAAATAGTAAAAAAGAATACGATAACAAATAGAATCTATTATCATATAATCTATTATTCATATAAATAAAATAAAAATAGTTACGCAAAAACGTTGTTGCAAAATAAAGGAAAAATAAGGAAATGTTTTTGGAGCGTGATTTCTACGAGATTTATTTAAATAAATCTATATATCTCATTAAAAAAAAATCACTTAATTATTATTATAATAAAAATTATTATTTAAGAAATTACATTAGGTTAATTACAGATAAATTTTCGTATATGTTTCATTGTTCTTTCCACGTGATTATTATTTTTACCGCCATCTTCAACTACTGATTATCGATAACCGGCGGGAACAATAGAGGCAGGTATAGAACAGTGCTCGAAATCTTCATCGCGTGGAGAACGAATTCGACGCGCAACTGGGGGCAGAATGTTGACGCGAGCCTTCAGGATGATTTCGGGCCGATGATTAAGCGACATGACCGTCTTGATGCTCGACACTTTTTCAACATTAATCTCTGCCATCCTCTTGGCCATTTGTCGGTTGTCGAATCCGCGGCCGTCGTTCTCCCTCCTCGACGGCGCGAGACGAGAGCACGGTAATTATGTTCGTAGAGACGATTAATATCCGGAGACATCATTTTTTCGGCGATTCCCGCCGTAAAATATATTACGCCGCATCGAGAATATTTCGTGCGCGCAACGCCGTCATTAAACGTAGAAGGCAATAGCCAACTTTTAAAAAAGCCACTTGTCGCTCGCAACCATCTACCTTACAATTGATGTAAATGTGCCAATCAAATTATACTTACTTATACTTATCAAATTATACTTATTACTGGAAAAGGAAATACGTAATTGTTTAAGTGCATTTCTTAAAGTTTTCGAGAGTGACGTCGATTTATTGCGACAATTATGTATCCCTCTATCACCGAAACGCAATTATTATTATTTTTTTTTGAGAAATCACAGCACAAATATATTAACACGTGCAAATAATTGATTTTTAATTATGCTACATGTAAATGTAAATATCGACCGCGATGGTTAATCATGTTTTTCTGTAGATTATTCGCGGAGAGAATCTCTCGCCGTCGGCAAACGTATAATCTTGCCACTTTTAAACGAAAGCTTCTTTCAACAGAACAGTAATTAGAAATTATTTATATCAAGCTGTTTACGTTTTAACATCAATAATATCCATATCACGGTGTGTAATTTATTCCTGCATGTTTGCTGAAAATTTAATCGCTGATTTCGAACAATTTCGCAATTGCACAGAAACGATAAAGAAAAAAACAATTATTAATAAAAATTATTAAGAAAAAAATTTTTCTACTTGTATTGACAGTTAACTTTGAATTTTATGTCCAATATACAACTATATAAAAATCTATTTATTTATACTTATTGTTATTCAAAGTATCTTAATAACTATTGAGGTGCTTTGCTTCGCTTCTGTGCGAGTGTCCGAACCGAATAACAATAATACGCGAAAAATTTGGCGATTGTTGATTTCGAAATCGGCGGTTCGTTGTTCGATGTTATTAAAAAGGCCGGTGTCTCGCGTCGTTCACGAGCAGAACCGTCCAACCTGTCGGCAGGCGGAGACTCGCTGATGGGCTCGGGATCGGAAGACGAGGACGAGGACGGTAGTGCCCACCATCATCATCACGATCCGGCCGTTCGAGGCACTCATCTCGGGCCTCACAACATTGGTCCGGGTGGTCCCGGCGACCAAACCGTCGGCCACGGTGGCGAACTACCTCTCGGTGGCGATCCCTGCAAGCAGGAGGATTCCGAGGATCAAGGTAAGTCCTGATTCACTCGATAGGATAAAACAGACGCTGCAACGAGATGACAGTGACAAAAAGTTTTTCTTGCGTCAGTTTTTTTTTTTTTTTAGGAAAATTATATTTAATATTTAATAAAATATATTTATCTTGATGTATAATAATGCATATAAGAATTAACTTAAATCGATTATTTCTGCGAGTGAGAAATCCGAAGAAAATTCTATCGCTTTGATAAGTAAAATCCTTCTGGTTTTCGAAAAAAAAAAAAAAAGAAACCCGATTCTTTTGATTATCTGATAGACGCTATAAGTGTTTCTCTGCGAACAGCTTAGAAAGTTCTCTTTAATGTCTTTAATTGCATTTGTAAGCGATATATGTAAGCGATATAAATATTACAGAATGGAGATACATATTTTTACAATGTAGACAGTTTTACGCAGCAAACTGCCTCTGAGTGAAACAAGAGAACGTCTTTATTACGTCAAAGGCGAAAGACGAAAGATAAATCTCAGAAAAAGTAGCGAAGGATCGTAAAGGAGAGTCAATATCGCGTAGCCGAGCGTAAAGGGTAGAGTGCGCGCGTGAAATATCTAAGCTGTCATCTCGATTACAGTGATTAGACACATACCGTACGTACATACGCGTGCACACACGTGTACACATCGGCAAATTGCACAGACGAACCAAGACTATTCACACGCCGTAAGTTACCTCGTAGTATTCGATCAAGAGCAATCGATTAGCGGTATTCGATCGAGCCAACCTTGGACATCACACGCGACATCACCCTGCAAACCCCACGAGCACGAATTCACGACGTCGCGACGTCACAGGGTGGTTGTCAGGAGCCGTCCCGAGTTATTATATCGCTCCTGCTCTTTTATCGCGCGCACAACAATCGGTCCTTTTACCATAATACACCATCTAGCCTCACCCTCGCGTTGGACCTCGTATATACGCAAGCCCTCCCCCTCCCGAGGATGAGAGAGGGAACGAACGTCTTCACGAGGGGTGGCCCCCGTTGTGCGGTGTGACACTGTCCAAACATTTTCTTTGTTCCGCGGTTAAGACCTACCCGGTGTACGTATACGTACAGTATATAGATTACTGTGGAGAGAGTTGGGGACTTACGTGCGCATTTGTGTGCGTGTGCGTGTGTGCGTGTGTGCGTGTGTGTGTGCGCGCGCGCGCGTGGTGTGTGTGTGTGTGTGTGTGTGTGTGTGTGTGTGTGTGTGTGTGTGTGTGTGTGT